TATCGAGCAATATCCGGGGTACGGTATACCGCAGTGTTTATAGATTAGAATAATTCATTGAGGCATAATGCATTGTTCAAGAACAATTACTCTCTTTTGCCTGATTTTGAGTGATTTGCCCTTTGTAATTTTTCATCTTACTTTTTTTTTTGCTGAAGCATAACTAAAATATTATTACTTTTGAAACTAAATTGACAGATAGACTTCATTAAAAATGTGCAGTGCACAAGAATAATCACAACTGTGTTTTATATAATTTTAGGGGGAAATTCCCCTTGCACTTGTGAATCTTTTTTATTAGGGATAATCAAAGGGTTATAAAATTTGAACATGATGGTGGATAAATCTGGAAAAAAGTAATGGGCAAAGGGGCCCCCAAACTTTTTTGTTTTATTTAAAGCTTCGCCCTTGGTATTTTTTCATGCTCAATTTTTTTGTTTGGGAACTTTAATTTCATTAAGCTGTGAAGTTGTTAAAAATTTTTTATTACATTAAATTTTTTGTCATTGATAACTCACAGTTGGCTATTTTAATTGGGTTTTTTTACAAAAACTTGAAGTTCACATGGAAATCTGCCATCACATCCCCCCTATAAGATCAGACAAAAATTAAAATCCAGAAATAAATATTAGCACCATTCGGGTTTACCCCCCGACCCCTGGTTATTAGAACCAATTCTGGTACCCCCGATTTCCCCCTGGTTCAAAAAAATTTTACCTACTATGACTTTGGTTTTGTGTGGATACAGGTGAAATATATTCATTTTGTCATGATTTTTAACCTAAACAGGGCTCAAGTTATGTAAAAGACATTACATTGTTACTGATTGAAATTTCAATGAAGAACCTCTAGCTAAAAATCAACCAGTTATCTGGTCAGAGTTTATAGATATACAGTTTGACCCTTTATCTGTGGTTATTACTGTATGCAAAGAATTAAAAAATAAAATTATCCTTTACAGTTGGGGTTTTATATCAATCACTTAATTCAGATAACTCATGGGTATATATAACTCATGGGTATATATAACTCATGGGTATATTGATTTTATTATACCCCCACCACAAAATGTGGGGGGGGGCTATAATGGATTCGCTTTGTCGCGTCGGTCGGTCCGTCCGTCGGTCGGTCCGTCCGTCCGTCCGTCCGTCTCCACTTTCGTGTCCGCTCTATAACTCCTATACCAATTGAAGGATTTTCTTCAAACTTGGCTCAAATGTTCACCTCAACAAGGGGATGTGCAGAACCCATATTGCCCATGTGTCAGTTCAAGGTCAAGGTCACAATTGAAGGTCAAATATCAAACACTATCAAATATTACACAGTATGTCGTGTCCGCTCTGTAAGTCCTACACTACTTGAAAGATTTTCTTCAAACTTGGCTTAAATGTTCACCTCAACCAGGGGATGTGCAGAACCCATCTCACCCATGTGTCAGCTCAAGGTCAAGGTCACAATTGAAGGTCAAATATCAAACAATTAGATATTACACAGTATGTCGTGTCCGCTCTGTAAGTCCTACACTACTTGAAAGATTTTCTTCAAACTTGGCTCAAATGTTTACCTCAACAAGGGGATGTGCAGAACCCATGTTGCCCATGTGCCAGCTCAAGGTCAAGGTCACAAGGTCAAATATCAAACACTATCAAATATTACACAGTATGTTGTGTCCGCTCTGTAAGTCCTACACTACTTGAAAGATTTTCTTCAAACTTGGCTCAAATGTTCACCTCAACAAGGGGATGTGCAGAACCCATGTCGCCCATGTGTCAGCTCAAGGTCAAGGTCACAATTGAAGGTCAAATATCAAACAATTAAATATTACACAGTATGTCGTGTCCGCTCTGTAAGTCCTACACTTCTTGAAAGATTTTCTTCAAACTTGGCTCAAATGTTCACCTCAACAAGGGGATGTGCAGAACCCATGTTGCCTATGTGCCAGCTCAAGGTCAAGGTCACAATTGAAGGTCAAATATCAAACAATCAAATATTACACAGTATGTTGTGTCCGCTCTGTAAGACCTACACTAATTGAAAGATTTTCTTCCAACTTGGCTCAAATATTCACCTCAACAAGGGGATGTGCAGAATCCATGTTGCCCATGTGTCAGCTCATGGTCAAGGTCACAATTGAAGGTCAAATATCAAACAATCTAATATTACACAGTATGTCATGTCCGCTCTGTAAGTCCTACATTAATTGAAAGATTTTCTTCAATCTTGGCTCAAATGTTCATCTCGACCAAGGGATGTGCAGAACTTATGTCACTCTTTTGCTGGCTTAAGGTCAAGGTCACACTTTAAGGTTTAAAAATTGACTTAGGAAATATTCTTAAATTTTAACATTTATTTGAATATTTCTAAATCTAGAAAAGGTATTTGCTTGAAACTTAAAATATTTTTGAAGGGTCACAATTCTGATATGCTGTTCGTTCAAGTTTCATAACTCTGTATTGCATTTTACCAAAGTTATGCCCCTTTTTAAGTCTTCAAATTTACATACAATCAAATATTAGACAATATGTTGTGTCCGCTCTATAAATCCTATACTAATGGAAGAATTTTCTTCAAACTTTACTCAAATTTTCACCTCAACAAGGTTATGTGCAGAATCCATGTCACCTTTGTGCCGGCTAAATATCAAGGTCACACTTGAAAGTCAAAAATTGACTTAGAAAATGTTCTTAAATTTTAACATGTACTTGAATAATTCTGAAACTAGCGCAGGCATTTGCTTGAAACTTAAAAGATATATGAGGTGTGGCAAATAAGATATGCAGGTCAAGTTTCATTATTCTGTATTGCATTTTGACAAAGTTATGCCCCTTTTTAAGTCTTCAAATTTACATACAACCAATACTAGACAATATATTGTGTCTACTCTATAAATTCTATACTATTGGAAGGATTTTCTTCAAACTTTGTCTTTACTCAAATGTTCAACCAAACTGGGTGATGTGCAAAACCCATCTTACCCTTGTGCCAGATTAAGGTCAAGGCCACACTTGAAGGTCAAAAATTGACTTATAAATAAAATGTTTAATACATTGGGAAAATGAAAGGTTATTTGTAACTGTTTCGAACATGATTTGATAATATATATTTATACTATTACCTGTACAATTGGTCTTTTTTTCACCAGAGATAATTTCTTTTTATGTATTTGTGCCACATAAGTTATTCCCTTAACCATTTTTCCAAGTGGTCTTCTGTCAGGGACATTGGTGGGGGTATGAATCGCATTCAGCGATAGTTCTAGTTTAAATTTTGTCATTTTTATGCCCCTGCCATATAATGGCTGGGTCATATATGTTACCCCTGTTCTGTTTCTTCCTCTCATCGTTTCCCTTCATTTTCTTTAAATTTTTAAATTAAACCAAATTTTGCTATGGATATGTTGAAGAAAAACAGGGAATTCGAATTTGGGCATGGTTCAAAGTATTTTTGGGGAGAGTTTTTGCCCCCTTTACTTTGAAAAATATTTAACTTTTTAATTTTTCCGTTTTTATCTCCTCTTTATTACACATTCAACTCAAACTTGAATATGATATGCATGAAAAAACAGGGCAAGTTGAAATTTTGGGCAGGTTTGATGATTCTTTCAGAGTTTTGCCCCTTTTTTGAAAAATATGAAATTTTCAGTTTCCATTCATTATCTCCCCAATGGTATTACACATTCAACTCAAATTTGACATATGGATATGTCATGAGAAAATACAGGTCAAGTTCGAATTTGGTCATGGTTTGATGATTCTTGGCAGAGTTATGCCCCTTTTACTTTGAAAATAAAATGAAATTTTCAGTTTCCATTCATTATCTCCCCAATGGTATTACACATTCAACTCAAATTTGACATATGGGTACATCAAAGAAATACGCAGGTCAAGATGATTTTTGGGAGAGTTTTGCCCCTTTAACTTTAAAAAAAAATTTTTTTTAGTTCCTATTCATTATCTCCCCAACAGTTGTACATATTCATCTCAAATTAAAGATATGGATATGTCATAAGTATGCATTGGTCAATTTCGAATTTGGTCATGGTTTGATGATAGCTGACAGAGTTATCCCTCTTGAACTTTGAAAAAAATCAGAAATTTTAAGTTTCAGTTCATTATCTCCCCAATGAATGTAGATCTACACATTCAACTCAAATTTGACATATAGATGCATCTTAGGAGTAAGCAGTTCAAGTTTGAATTTGGTCGTAGTTCAATAATTTTGGACACAGTTATCTTCCTTGAATGTTGGAAAAAATTTGAATTTTCAGTTTCAGCACACATACTTTTGTGGAAATGTATGTAGCCATTAATTTGGGTAGAAATATGCATATTAAAAATGGTTTGTGTTAACATTGAATAGTTTTAAGGGCTTTGAACTTAAAATGAAAAATATAATTTGTGCAAACAAATTTGGAACTAAATATTATAACATCTGAAATTTTGGCTGCATGCGGGGGCATCTGTGGCATGATGACACATTTCTAGTTTTTCTAAATTCGGGACATTTCAAAACCTTTTTGTTCAAATTAATTTAGACAGAGTAATTTGTCTGTGTTAAAGGGACTCAACTGAGGTTTTTGATATAAAGAAGCTAAAAATTTTTTTTATATTAATTCATTTGATTTAGGTCTAGAGCAATAACTTGTGTGCAAAATTTGAGATCATTTTCTCATTATGTTTTTACAAAATAATTATTCTTATTGTGCAAAATAACTCAAATTAAAAAGTGATGCAATGCTTTTCACTCATATTGTGCTGTGAATAGCTTGAAAATTCAAGTTTCAATTAATTTCTTTATATAATTTTATTTATCTTTTACAATATATTTTCAGTTTGCCAAAGCTTTCTACTGTATTTAAGAAATTCAGATTTTCTGGTTTTAGGCTTTTTGGACCTGTTGAGTTCCTTTAAAATTACAATTTGACTATCACTGATACTGGAATTATTGTAATCATATTTTGTAACTTTCATTCATACAGGATCTGGTAGAGAGAGCAATTATTGAGATACAGAAAAGCCGGTAACCAGTTCTTGTTTGTCTCCCTGAAGACATTTATTTCCCTGGCATTCATACAGGACCTGGTAGAGAGAGCAATTATTGAGATACAGGTTGGAAAGCCGGTAACCAGACCAGGAACTTTCATTCATACAGGAGCTGGTAGAGAGAGCAATTATTGAGATACAGGTTGGAAAGCCGGTAACCAGACCAGGAACTTACATCCATACAGGACTTGGTAGAGAGAGCAATTATTGAGATACAGGAAAGCCGGTATAAAGACCAGGACTTTTCCTTCATACAGGACTTGGTAGAGAGAGCAATTATTGAGATACAGGTTGGAAAGCCGGTAACCAGTCCAGGAACTTTCCTTCATACAGGACTTGGTAGAGAGAGCAATTATTGAGATACAGGAAAGCCGGTAACCAGACCAGGACCTTTCCTTCATACAGGACTTGGTAGAGAGAGCAATTATTGAGATACAGGAAAGCCGGTAACCAGTCCAAGAACTTTCCTTCATACAGGACTTGGTAGAGAGAGCAATTATTGAGATACAGGAAAGCCGGTAACCAGACCAGGAACTTTCCTTCATACAGGACTTGGTAGAGAGAGCAATTATTGAGATACAGGTTGGAAAGCCGGTAACCAGACCAGGAACTTTCCTTCATACAGGACCTGGTAGAGAGAGCAATTATTGAGATACAGGTTGGAAAGCCGGTAACCAGTCCAGGAACTTTCCTTCACAGAATGCCATATTGGTGTTGACTGTGGGATGCGTGAGTTGTCTCCCTTGATTCACTGTTCTTGTTGGAATTCAATATTTTTATAATTACATTGAAGCTTTATTAATCAATAAAAGTGTTTTAATCTGTCTTAGATTTTCTAAAATGTTTTGGACTTTTCATGTACAATTCAATTTATAATAATGAAAACATTAATTTAGTAATTTATAAGTGATTTAGTAACAACTTGTACTTGTTATAAAAATGAATGATGAGTAAAAGTTATTGTTGCTATTATTATGTTAATAAGACATTTATAACTTCACCTCCATAAGTAAAGCTTATTTTGTGAAGGGTTTGTTATCTCCTAATGAAATTGATGTAATTAAGGCACTTGTTACCTCCCCTTATAAAATGTGTTAATTATGACAATAAATGTTTGTTTTCAGATTTATCTGGCTAATACAACATATTTTTCCGCTATGTTTGATGTTGTCATAGGTTTATTCAGTAGCCATGTTGGAACAGAAAATTGTCTTTGAAAAGGAGAAGAGATTTAAAGAGGTATAAAAACTTTTTATTTGTTTTTAAATGACTTATGTTTGCATGCTTGATATTTCTTGTTGATTTTCCTTCAAATGGGTATAAGTTTGTTTTTTTTTTGTTTCCATGAAATATTTTACAAGCATTTATGAATGTATATTTATTATAGTATACTTGTTAATTAAAATGTCACACTGAAGCAGAATATTCTGTAAACAAAAAAATAAACTAAAGTTGCTGTTTATTTTAATATGAGTGATCAACAATGAGTGATATATGATATATGATATGATATATTTATATGAGTGATCAACAATGAGTGATATATGATATGATATATTTATATGAGTGATCAACAATGAGTGATATATGATATATGATATGATATATTTATATGAGTGATCAACAATGAGTGATATAGGGTGAATGATTATATGATAAACGATACATGTTAAAATACACTCATGGTGTAAACATATTTATTTAAGCTTGATTGCGAAACAAGTTCTTACAACTTATATTAATCACTTTTGAGTCCGCTTCCTGGAACCAACTAGTACAGGTGTCAGATGAAGAAACATGGTCGTGACCAAAGTAGGGCTCGTACCCATGACCTCTGGGTTGAAAGGCAGACACTTTAACCACTACGCCACTGCTACCCTTATAAAATGCACTCATGAGTTCATAAACTCTGATCCCCTTTGAAAATTCCATTTTATTTAGTTCCACCGATTGTTTTTTTTTGTTTAGGGCACACCTTTTTTATAACTTGGGGACCATACGCCGCTTTTCATGAAATGGCACTATTGTGTCACATTTCCGCCATATGAACACATCTGTAGATGTTCCAAAAATTAAAATTTTGCCATTTCATATTTGAATGATGAATTATGCTTAAGCCTGTGCTAGGTGGTCATGGAGGTTGGTTTGCACTCGACAGTATCGTTCATGAACAGGATCAATTAAACTGAACCTGCAACATTTTCAATTTGCCATGTTGGGCTTTCTTTAGGGATTCTCATTTTTCTCTACTTCATGTATCTCACTACTATACACATGTACTATAAAATCTATTCATACAGGTAACGCAGATGATGGGCTTATCAGATAGTGTGCACTGGTGGGCGTGGTTAATACCTGCCGCGGTACAGATGACTGTTACTGTAAGTAAGTAAGTAAGTAAGTAACAACTTTATTTAATGAGGCTAACACATTCGGTTTCCCGATCTTCCATGCGGGCCTCAGCATATACATAGCATATACATAACAATATATACATTACACATTTTAAATAACATATATACACAAATAGAAAAAAAACAACAACAAAAAACAAACCAAAAAAAAAAAAAAAAAAAAACGAACATCAAGAAACCACATTTTCATAATCTGGGCATGAAAAATACATTATTTTACAAGTAAGATGAAAACAAATTTGTAAAAACAAAACATTAAACATTATACCTTCTATTCTTGTGTGGCATTATCATTTCAACAAAATGTACACTCATTTAATTAGAAAATTGCCACTTAATATATGTGGCTTGAAATTTCTTCAAAGTATCTGAATTTCGAATATAAATTGGAATGTCATTCCATATTTTAGGACCAGAATAGTCAAATGATTTCCTAAAGTACTCAGTTGTTGGTTTCGGTATGACTAGTTTCTCATTTTGAACAGATCTTAAGTTGAAGTTGTGTTTGTCATTTATCACTTTGAATTTATTTTTCATATAATTAGGAAAAGATGGTTCATTTATAGATTTATACATGAGAATAGCTTTTTTGTGCATAATTCTTTGATCAAAGGACATCCAATTAAGCTCTTTAAATAGTTCATTTGATGGGGAATCAAAACTTTTATCCAAGATTATTCTAGCAGCTCTTTTTTGAAATTTGATAATTTGTGAAAGTAATTCACTACTACAGTTTCCCCATATAGTGCAACAGTAGTCTAAATGAGGCAGAATATATGCATTGAAAAAGAGTTTTCTAGAATGAAGATCAAGATATTGTTTAATTCTAAGAAGCAGGTAGAGTTGTGAATTGCATTTTCCAATAGTTTTTTGAATTTGAGTTTTCCATTTGAGATTGTTGTCAACATAGACACCTAGTACTTTTTCTGTGTCTGTAAAATCTATTTCTTTGTTATGAAGATACAGTGTAGGTGTAGCATTATTTTCTAATTTTGTATTCCTAATTGACAGAGTCATAGCTTTTGTTTTAAGTGCATTTAGTACCATTGAGTTTTGCATGCCCCATGTGTTAACATCATCAATATCTGTTTGAAGATTGTCATTGACTTCTTGTACAGTATTTCCTATAAAAGTTAACGAAGTGTCATCTGCAAAAATATTAGCATTAGATCTTTTTATATGCAGATGTATGTAATTTATATATATATTAAGAAAAGTAAGGGTCCCAGGACTGAGCCCTGGGGTACTCCTGAGACAATGTCAGCAGATTCAGATAAAAGACCCGACACACTTACTTTTTGTGACCTGTCTGACAGATATGATTTAATCCAAGTAATGGCCTGTGAAAATTTTTATATTGTGTATATTAAATAAGTGAGTGAAATATTTGTATTGAATTTCATTTTAAATTTTATTTTGTATTTTCTGATTTCAAAATTAGGCATAAATTTATAAATGAAATTCAATACAAATATTTCACTCACTTATTTAATATACACAATATAAAATATAACAAGAAAATAGCTAATTTTTCATAGCATGACACAATATTTGAATTTTTTCTTTGATGTAGGTATAAACAACACAAACTTGGTGTTAATGTTTAATCAAGTCATTTTATTGTGTCGCTTTGAAAAGGCTACATAAAGGGGTTACTTTTGTCAGCGGCGTCGTTGTTGGCTTCCCTGTTGGCATCAATGGCCTCCCCTAAGACTTGTCCATACAGGATGTCCATGCTGTTTCTTCATGGTCTGCACTGTTCCTCATTCAATCAACATTTTGAAATTTTCCCTTATAAATGATGAATGGTTTTGTTTGGATTTTAAAGATGGTTGAGTCTGTTTAAGATATTTAGCATGGTTAACATTAAAGAAAATGTTAAACAGTTTAGTATATGGTTATATTTGTTGCTGATTTTCATTGAATTGTACATTCTCTAGTGATTTTAAAATATTGAAATTAAAACCTTTTTTCAGGTCAATATTAACAGGCATGTTCCCACCCACATCTGGTACTGCTACCATATATGGTCATAATGTGATGTCAGATATGGATACTGTAAGCCGGGATCTAGGGATGTGTCCGCAATATAAAGTTCTGTTTGAAAGGTAAAATAGGAATTTCATTTACATGTTTACAAAATTATAAAATAACTGACAATATCTATATAAAGTGGGCATTCTTTATTTTGAATACCATTCTGATATACACTTTTCTGTACCCAATGTTTTTATTAAGTTTAGAAAAAATGGAATATATGTATGACTTAATTTGATTTATCTTCGCCAAAATATATTGTAAGCTTTACTTTTCAAGCTTTTGTCATGACCCTTTTTGTAGCGCTGGAATCAGCAATGATAAACATTTTCATTGAGGGCCAAGTTATATTCACATGTTCATTAAAATAAAAAAGCAGATAATCCTAAAATGAAATTTTGCAAAGTTAGTCCATTTTCTCAAAAAGTTCACTATATGTATTTCCCTATCGAAATATATCACTTTTTTAAAAAAGGGCAGATGATTTTAAAGATTTTTAGTCAGGTTTTGCCCCCCTTTTTTGTGTCGTCTTAAAAAGGCGACATATAGGTTATACTTTTGTCGGCGGTGTCGGCGTCGTTGTCGGCGTCGCGTAAAACTTGTCCAGAGCATAACTCAGTCACTTTAAGTTGGATTGACTTCAAACTTGGTATGCATGCTTCTTTCAATAACACGAAGTGCAGTGCACAAGGAGCGGTACTCGGCACTTTTTAATTTTTGAGTTATTGTCCTTTGTAAATTGTCATACTTTAATTTTGTTCGGACCATTTCTCTTCAACTATAAAAGCTATGGACATGAAACTTCATATGATGATAGATCTCATTAAGAAGAAGTGCAGTGCACAAGAATCGGTACTCTGCATTTCCTAATTTTTGAGTTATTTCCCTTTGTTAATTTTCATACTTTATTTTTGTCTGGGCCATTTCTCCTAATGTATAACAGCTCTGGACTTGAAACTTCACAGGATGATAGATCTCATTAAGAAGAAGTGCAGTTGCCAGGAACAGGTACTCTGCATTTCTTATTTTTTGAGTTATTGCCCTTTGTTAATTTTCGTACTTTATTTTTGTCCGGGCCATTTCTCCGAAAGTATATAAGCTATGGACTTGAAACTTCATAGGATGATAGATCTCATTAAAAAGAAGTGCAATGCACAAGAACCGGTACTCTGTATTTCTTATTTTTTGAGTAATTGCCCTTTGTTAATTTTCGTACTTTATTTTAACCAGGTCATTTGTCCTCAAGTATGAAAGCTATAGACATGACACTTCTTAGGATGATAGATCTTATTAAAAAAAGTGCAGTATAAGAAGTGCAATGCATAGAAACTGCTGTTTTGCACTTATTATTTTTTGAGCTATTGCCCTTTGTTAGTTTTCTTATTTCATTTTTGTCCTGGCCATTTCTCCTAAACTATATTGTTCACAAGGCGCAGATCCGACTCGCAGAGTTCTAGTTTTTTTTTGCTGAAGTCAATTTCTTCAAGAAAGTCAAAAGTTGATCATTTTAAATTTGGAATATTTGTTCAATTTACAATTGAAATAAAACATTTCTAAAGGGCAGGTAGAAAATAGGACATTGTGTTTTATGTGTTGGTAAATCTTCTCTATTTACAAGAAATTTACCATTTATACATCTTGTAACCTTTTTTACATTTGATTAGTTTTTATTACATGTTTACATTTTGTTACAGTTTGAATGTGGAAGAACATCTTTGGTTTTATTCACGTTTGAAGGGTGTTCCAGCTAGAGACATACAAGAAAATATTCCAAGGTAAGAAGTTACCATAATCAGATAATAAAATTATGTATAATCTGCTCATTAAGATTTAAGTGCTTTAAAACATATTTGTAACAGTAAATGGTAGTTTTAAGTCTATTTGCCACAGAAAAATTTAGATGTAGATTTCATGTTTAATTCAACGTAAATGCAGTAGACCTCAGAGACAAAAAACTGATCCCGCAACGCCCTTGTCTTTGGACATATTGATAGTAATTTAGGTAGATATGTACTTACTCATGTACATTTTCTTTTAAAACAGAACAAAACATAAACTTTATTTCAGACTTGTACAAAATACATCATCATCAGACAAAATATTATCATTTAAATATTTCAAATATAAATCACATTCCATAATTATGTAAAATGTTAACAATTTTTTTTTGCTTAATTTATAATTGGGCTAGCACAAAGCAAAATGTATTTGTTATTTCTGTAACTACAGAAATCATACAATCAATGATATTTATTTATGCTATATTACACAGAGGATTACAGTCAAACATATTCTTGAACATCACTGTGGGTTCAAATCCTGACACAGTGACTTTTGATTTTTCACATCAGGCAGCTATCCTGAGTTTGCTTGCAGTATGCCAGTGGTTCTTAACTCAGGTGCCTGCTCATGCCTGAAACTATTGCACAATCAGGAACCTGGGGTCTTCCTAGATAATAAAAATCGGAAAGTGACCATATGACCTGAATTGGTGTTGGCTTAAAACTTGACCAAAAAAGTCTTGAACAGCCCAAACAAATATATCTATAAAAAGGTTTCCTAAAAGTTGTTAATTATTTACATAATATTACAATTATTGAGTATTACTATTTTGTTGACAGAATATTGTCAGATCTCAGCTTAGAGAACAAAGGGGATTCACGCCCAGAGGCAATCTCTGGAGGCATGCAGAGGAAACTTTCTATAGCTATAGCATTTGTTGGAGGATCACGCACAGTGATCTTGGACGAGCCTACTGCCGGTGTCGACCCCTACTCGCCTAAAGCCATCTGGAATCTACTCACTTAATACAAGACAGGTATAGTTGAAATGATGACTGTAATTTCAGTTGAGTTATTTTCCTTAACATTTAGAACAGAATTTGACAATTTACCTAAATCAGCTGTTTATATTGCTTGTTTCATATTTTGTCAATTATTTAGAGGATATTTGTTTTGGTCAGTGTAAGATCAGAGTATATTTCACCGAGTGAGCCCCTAAAGGTATATTTCACGAGTGGTGCAGCCACAAGTGAAATATGAATTTTTGGTGTTCACAAGGTGAAATATGTTTCAATCTTGCAATAAACTAATCAAATTTTCTGTTTATTATATGCAAAGAAACGTTTAAAAAAAGTTTTAACCTTTAAATGCTAAATTGAAATCGCACCACATAATAATACAATGTGACATCATTTAGTTGGTTTCCAGTACTGTGCACGCTGGTATTTTACTGAAACAACAAAAGGGGCTTAAATTCAAAACAGTGAAATTATCAAAGTGGTAATTTCACTGTTTCAAACAGTGAAAATATCAGTTTTATATTTCACTGATATATTTCTATAAACCACCGAAAAACATGTAATAAATGATTGTAGTTTTAAGGTTAATTTGTTATTTTCCAAGAAAGACAACTCTGTCAACTTTGTTTGATTTTTACTTTTTATGTCATTAGCTCCCTTGTCCAAATCTGTTATCTGCTCATAATGTTTCCCTCCTAAAGTTAAGGTCACCTGAGGTCTTTCTTTGTGTTATAGAAGTTGTTGGTCATTGTACCATGTAGATGAAGTAGACCTTTGTGTTTTACTTAAAACAATAATTATGATAACTAATAAGCATTTGGATTGAGAAATTGTAATTGCAGTACAGAGCTTATATCACAGTGTTAGTGACAGAGGTATAGTTAACAGTCTGATCCACAATAGGCATGATGTATCCTGGAATTATAGTGTTTACTACAAATTAAATCTACGAACTAGTAACCCTCAGTTTTGTTCTTCATTATAAAAGGGACAAAGACATAGGGGTCACATGATATAGAAAATTGACCTCAATAATGGCTGCCACTTTTGGCAAGAGAGGTAAATAATATTAAGATTGGGAACTATCAATAGTGAAGGTTGAAAGTCAAGTACCTTTTTGGCTAGCCTAACCCTTTCTAGTATTATGCTTGTTTTTACATACTTGCATAATGCATAAAAGTGCACGATGGTTTTGATTTAGGCAAATTACTAGTGTTGCTAGCATTTTAGGAGTTAAAAGATAGAATATAAAACAAGCTGATATTTAACTTTCATCTTTAAGGAAGGACAATTATGGTGTCCACACACAATATGGCAGAGACTTTGGGGGATAGGATTCTAATTATAGCAGACGGCAAACTGAAATGTGCTGGTACCCCATTTTACCTTAAGTCTAAACTAGGGGATGGTTACCGGCTCTGCATTTTGAAAGATGAAGGTATGTTCACATTGAGTTGATTTATGAGATATTGCTTGGATGATATTGTTTTATAGTTTCATACTTCTTAACTGGATGAATGTTTTGACATTAATTTTGTTGAAATTAAAAGTCATTAAGTGCATGTGTCCAGACATTAAACATTCACTCTTAATGACAATATAATGTTTGCATCATTTAAAAAATCAAAAGTATAACATTTTAATTTTCTTTTTCGATTATGTGGTTTTTACACCTTATGACACTTTGTTCATCATATCTCAACAGTCGGTCCAATGAAACTTTCCTGGATAACTAACCAGTAATTACCAATATCTCCGCAAGTAACTAACTTGTAACTAACCCAACATGATTTCTTGATCAATATTATAGCATAAAATCGGCTATTTTTCCCTCTTTTGCCCATGTTATAACGGGACCAAAACCATGTGTTAACATAGTCACGCGCTCTTGTTATAGCCCGGCTTCACCTATGCGCAATACATACAGGGCCCAGTAAACAAACAAACAAAAAATGAGTCGACGATTTGGCATGTTTGCCGAAGAGTCATGCGCTCTTGTTAAATTGAAATTTATTGATTCGAGGGCCTCAGTCGCATATTCAAGTAACTATGCCGGAAAAACGGCGTATAGACATCGGTGCTAACCTTGGTTGTCGCCCTTTCTGAGAAACGGACAGTTGTCAATGTAAACAAATACAGTAGAATCTACTTGTCATTCAGTTTAACACTCCGATTAACTTACAAAACTAGATAACACAAAATTAATATGAGAAAATGTTTTTTATTTATGTTAATGTTGATAAATGCTCTTTATATTTCTTTGAGAGAATAATGCTTAGTGTCTGATTTTTTTATAAACTTGTTTGCTTGAAAAAAAACCGATTCTGATGTCACTGATCTTTTTTCTACCGTCAATCTGAAATCATTCTAAGAATTTCTGAGGGTACGTCATGTTTTGTCTTTGGTAGAGGGTAGAGTAATGTAACGTTTTTTTTTTTCTTGAGATAATAAATCTCCAAAGGCCAAGCTTTGTTAAATCAATTAAAATTCAAAATTTTGTTCGGTTCCGAGAATTTTCCAAGTTGTTGGCCCCGGAAAAATGAAACGCATACGTAAAACATAGAATTGGATAAATACCGTCCAAGCACAAGAATTTAATGTAATTGTGTTTTGTATAAACTATACATCACGAATCTGTTTGAAAATTTTATGCTATAATAGCGTCAACGCACGTTTATTTCGTGTTATAAAGTCTGCAGAGTCCCTCGGAACTGTTGGAGCCCTCGCCCTACCGGGCTCGGGCACCAACCGTTCCTCGGGACTCTGCAGACGTTATAACACGGAAAAACGTGCGTTAACCCTATAAAGACAAATGACCGTTAGATTGAATGTCGGAGATGAATTGTCATGTAGATATTTCAACTTGAATTCATAATATTTTCACCCTGTTACATATGAATTGAGGACTATTTCTACATATACTTTATAGTGACTTATAAATGGAAGACTGCATTTTTATGTGATACAGCAGTGTATTCTTGAGTTTATTTCTTTATGTTACATGTTAGCCATGTTCGCCATGCATGCCCACTTTCCCTATTGCTCAAATGGCTTGATTTCAAGGATTCAACAAGCAGGTCTGGTGGTAAAGTCTGCGTTTGAATTCTGCTCTGATAGTTTCTCTGAAAATAATTTCAATCAAAAGTTAAGTAATATTATTTGATGATATATCAGTCTAAAACACTTGTCTCAAGCAGAACAAGCTTGACGTCCTTTTTATGAAGTAACATGTATGAGATACTGTATAATCAGAAATTTTTTTTGACGGATTAATTTTTGCCTATAAAGTTCATTGAAGATTTTCAATTGTTGGATAAGTATGTAAGTATCGTACAAAGTTACAGAACTGACTGTAATAATTCCTGAATATTTAGCCTTTTCAATTTGCTTGATATAAAGAGTTCGAGAAAATATCAAATTTTACAGTATAACTCACATGCATTTACTCATTGGAAAGGAAAGAAATTAGGAAAAGATCGGTAATCAATTTTTAATTTTTATATATTTGATTTGAAATTTGATTCATGTTTGATTGGATTCTATAAATAGATTTTTCTTTTAGGTATGCATACTAATGGACCTTCAGAGCTGAATGGGAATAAAGATGCTCAGATTCTCACAATGGTAAAACAGATAATCTCAGCTGCCTTTATATTCAAGCATGTAGACAATGAGGTCCATATGACAATCCCAGTGCAGACGGACGAACATTTTGTTCCATTATTTAGACTTCTGGAGGACAAGAAAAGTGAGTTGGGGATAGCGAGTTATGGTAAATCAGACAGTCGTCTTGAACAGGTGTTTGTAAAGGTCACAAAAAGTTGCGAGGGCAACAAAATAGCTGGGATTGTCTACACTTCTCACCTATATGTACATCTTTCTCCTTGATCTTATAGTTTTAGTAAAGATGAGGGTGTCCGACATTCTGTCCGTGGGCATGTCTTGTATTCAATATATTTTTATATCAATGCAACTGTTTATAAATAAATGGTTTTCTTATGCATTGCTTATGTCACAAGCATCGACTTGGACTGTAATATATTGCATGGTGCTTTTTTGTATACCATACGTAAGCTTAATCGCAAATATTGTTAACATAAAACTGTGCAGTAAATTGATCTGTTAGTAATGAACATTCATCATTACTGCATTTTGGGAAATGATTTTTTCTTAATTGTTAAGGGCTTTTATTTTTTTATTTATTGCAAGTTCATTGTCCAAAGTTGAATTTCTTCCTGGGATTGGAATATTTTGGATTGCATTTTTATATTTTGCTCTATTGGAAGAATAGTGAGGCTTCTGTTCTTACTCTGGCATTGGGGCTTGCATAAAATGATGTAACATTTTCATTAAAGATTTATGTGCAACTTCTTGTTAATAATTATGAAGAATATATCTTAAAAAACTTTCAAAAATCTTTGGTCAGTATCCAAGACTTGTAACTTAATAATGTCATATATAATTTTATATAATATCATCCTCTTTTTTCAAATTCTAATATTATCTAGGCTCTTTTTTACTATGAGTGTAGTTTAATACTAAATTTATTGAACAAGTTGAATAAAATCATATTATGCGTGCCTCTGGCGAGCATAATATTGTTTTATTCAACGAGTTCAATAAATTTAGTATTGAATCTACACGAATATAATATTCTATTTATCACATATATAAAATAAGAACAGTAAAATGATAAAATGATTAATTTTTCAATGACACGCCCATAGTGTAACGCTAACATTAGCGCGCTTTAACACTATGTTTCTCTATAGTGCAAATGACGTCACGTTAAAGTGTTATTACACAAGTGTTATATCGCTTTTATAAAATCTCTTTATTACACTCCTGCGCTGCGGTTTATGTGATAAAGTGGAGTATGTTATCTCTAGTTTTGTTATAAATTTTAACTAATATTGTAAGAGATTTCTGCAATTTATCAAAAAGTTATTTAAACTCTCTTTTCTTTATTTTTCTATAGCCTTAACTGCGCCAAAAAATTCTGCTCAATACTATGATCTCACCAAACCACGCGGGAACTTTATTCCATTTTCTATTCATGAGCTTAACAAGACTTCAAAACATTTAAATAGTTTGTATGTATGTAACAAAGTTTTCGGAAAAATTAGCCGACACATTTTTCATGCCCTCTGGTATAGGTGCTTCGTGTGTTTTAAAATCTAATTTATCAGGTGCTTTATGTGATGGGAATAATTTAACAAACGGTTGCTATGACGATGGTTATGATGATTTATTTACTTCTAACAGTGTACAGAGAAATGGATGGACTAGTTCATCAGGTAAATATTGTGCACCTTGTTCCTTATTTTCCGTATTCAAATTTCTGCTACAGTTGTTATTCTATTAAACTGCAGTCTTGTTGGAATTATTTTTATATGTAGCTTTACAGTTGTGTTGCAAAATATTTACTGTAGTATTGCAATAAATTTACTGTTGTATTGCAAAATATTTACTGTCGTATTGCAAAATATTTACTGTAGTATTGCAAAATATTTACTGTTGTATTGCAAAATATTTACTGTAGTGCTGTATTGCAAAATATTTACTGTCGTATTGCAAAATATTTACTGTTGTCCTTCAATAAAGTAGCATCATTATGTTTTATAGTAACTGTTGTATTTGTAACATATGTTAAGTTTTAATGCAGTAAACTTCATGTTTTCATTAAAGACATGTGTTTTGCCTGAATGACAGCTTTATTACAATATTTTTTATATCATATAATATAATGGGACAGGCAAATGAATGATAACACTGCATTATTGTTTTGTCCAATCAAGCAAACCCATCATGACTTTCTCTGGGTAATGATTGTAAAGTCCAGAGTTAACAGTGTATTAAATAAGATAAATATAAACCTCACTGAAATAAGAATTTAACAGTCCTTTAGAATAAAAAAAATGTTCTTTACATGGTTTTATGAATATTCATTGATGTAATTAATTATAATAACGTCATAATTATGTCAATTAAACACTATATTAATGGATTTATCTTCTGTCTACTGGGGACAAACATTATTCTACTCATCTTGTAGGTCGTTGCTTGTAACACCCATCAGAATGAATTTACAGTTGTTTTTCATATAAGTTTTTCTGTTTGACTGGCCAATAATTTTAGTATGCATTGCAATAAATGTATTGTTGTATTATTGCAATTATTGTACATTTGTATTGCAAGAACATTAGTTGTTTTGCAAAAGAAAAAACAACACAAAACAGCAACATTCATTTTGTAATATATTTACAGTTGTATTCCAATCATTCTTCATTTGTATTGCATTGAATTTAGATATTCTGACATATTATTAACCTGTATACTGACATTAAATTTCAGTTCAACTATCAGAAAATGTTCATTTTACATGTCGATGTAAGTTGGACAATGTAAGGTTTTACTTGTAACGAGAGAAACACAGTTGTCCCCCCTGAATGGAGACTGGTTACTGGAGATATATTACAGAATATTACAAGTGGTGTAAATGACGAGGAAAACTATCTGTTAAATACCAATGATAAATACAGGAGACATAGGTATGTTTGTTTATGTAGTTAACTGTTAAACTGCTCGCCTTCTGATAAGAGAACACAATTGAAAATAATAATAATAATTAACAAAGAAACATGTAGACCAATTTTAGAATTGTTTAATCATTTGCAATTTTATGACGCTTTGCTTGTGTTACATTTTCTCATAAAAACACATGTGCTTGTTGACTGCGGGAAATAAAGTGATTTTAATAAGAGCAATAAAATCAATGCTGGGGTATATTATTTCGATATTAACATGACATTAACAAACCTGATAGCAAGCTAAATTTTGTCAGACTTTCACTTACTTATTTTCAGCTCATCGCATTTTTATTAATTGCATCACATGGCTAAATATTACTAGTATACAATCATTGACAGTGATTTTCTTGCAAATACACACACACTTTTCGGTCCTTCGTGTTCAGTAGGGAAAAATGTGTGTTGTGCTAGAATTCCTTATTAAACACCTGAGTGTAAGTTACTTGCAGGAAATGTACTCTGTAAAATGGATCAAATAATCTTATTCTTAAAAGTCTTCACAATTCAGCTAACATGTTGAATGGATCAAATAATGTTATTCTTTCTTCACAATTCAGCTAACATAATGTTTAACTCCTAGCCCACTGGTGGCTACAAACTACCTATGTCACCAGTGCCAACCAAAATGGGTGCCTTCTGATAGTCTGCACTGTTAACAATTAAGTCAGGATATATTTTGACAAACTACCTATGTCACCAGTGCCAACCAAAATGGGTGCCTTCTGATAGTCTGCACTGTTAACAATTAAGTCAGGATATATTTTGAAATGAACGCTAAAACTGATGAATCGTTTTGTCCAGATTGAAAGATACACAAGTCTGTTTTAGATATTATGGTTATAACCAATGGGCAATGGAAAAGAAGTTATGGTTATAACCAATGGGCAATGGAAAAGAAGTATTTTTGATATATATAGTCATTCATGTAATGGTGGTAGCTCTAGTTTAAATGAGACATTGTAATTTTTGCAGGTATAGAGATTTTACATTTGGTACCACTTTACCCTACATGCCGGATACCTCAGCCAGGTCACATGACTTTACTTGTTGGCAACCAGAGTCATCAATAAGGTATGCTTGTTGGCTGTAGATAAGTTTTGCATGTCAATATTTTAGAAAAATGAAAGAAACTCTCTGTTCTTTATTTTTCTAAATGATACAGTAATGGTTGTAGGTTCACACTTATATATAACACCCACCAATCATTCAGAAATTCGTTATTTTTATGCTGATGGAATCTAACTTGTCTGAAAGCTATTTAGGTTACTTTTTAAAACATACATCTAAGATCTGGGAAAAATGAAACAATTTATGAAAATTTCAAATTTTGATACATATGCCACCAAGGGAATATTTGACCCCAGTTTTTTATGTAAATAAAATAATTAAAAATAGTAAAATTATAAAATGATAAAAAGGAATGTAAATAATGATAATTTTCATGCATGAATGTGAGTGTGTATGTAATCTATTATAATGTTTTATGATAAATGCTTTACTTTCAGATTTAATGTAATATTTTGAAATCATAATCACATTATTAATTACTTCACTGTTTAGGTGTGAAAAGCCATAAAGCATATTTTTAGTAAAGTTTATCTTAATACTTAAATATCACATATGTCAGTCTTTTTGACACTTAAGAAGATTATTTCACTTTTAGAAATCTTTTACTCTTATCAACACCTTTTGGTTTAGGTGCTATTTATTTATAATACTTTGTAGCTTTCAGCAATTAATGCTATTAGGAAATTAATGTAACATACAGGATATGTTTTATGCCCTTTTTTCATAAGATATTTTTTATCCAGATTAAAGGGAAAGACAAGGTTAGAATAAAAACTTGATTTCAGAAAAAGAATACTATAAATAATAAGTCTGCAAATTTTCTGCCGCCAAATAATAATATTAAACGAATGATAACAAAATTTAAATCGCTAAATCACCGATTTCTACAAATCAGTAAGCGCGGCCATGTTTGTGTATTGGCCGTATAAAAACAGGTGCGCGTGATGTCATTTCCCCACATCTTTAGATTCATGATAAATCTAGTTGAATCGTAAGGAAATATTAATATAATAAAGTATTGACCAGACAATTTAATTTTCACAGGAGGTGTAGAGGAGATTTTTTATGGTTCAAAATACGTAACAATATCAAAAAAATAATAATAATAATAATAAATAAAGAAACGTACGGCTAGCCAAAAGTTCTAGCCGTACGTGAGTCACGAACGACTAGCCAGGACGCACTGTACGTATTATCTAGCCGTACGGCACTTTTCAAAATTATATGGAAGTCGAACGTTATAAAATTGTTGATTTTCATGCTTATCATTTGTTGTTTTATTTGTATGAATTATTAAATCATTTTTGTTAATTTTAAGTACATGGGTCGAATAAAAAATGATCGGGAAGGAATAAATAAATAAAAAGAACATTGAATGAAAAAAAAAACGGTGAAATGCAAAAATAATTATATAATTTTCAAAACAGTAGATAAATAAAAGCACAGTCAATCAATTAATTAGCCTTAATTAAAAGCTATCCAGGGACTGACAATAGAATTTTAGTATGCCTTTCACGGAACATGCAAACTTTCCTTGATGGACAAACTTCTATACAGTACCGTCGGTAATTGTCGCAATTATCAAGAGCCTAACAACAATCATTTTCAGTGTTTGTTGGTTTTTTTTTTCATATAAAAGGTGTCGAAAATTAAACTTAATGAAACAAAAAAAAGATTATTATCAAAATTTTGTAAACTAT